TGAATAGATACAATAGACGTAGTGGAGAATAAAAACTATAATCCATTAAAAGACAAAAATAACCTCTTACCAAAAATTCTCTAAAAGGATGAACAGAAACAAATATAAATATTCAATTGAAAGGCTCGAAACACTCTCACGTGCATCCTTTAAAAAAGCATATTTAAAACTACATGCATTCGAAAGAGCTATAAGAAAATGCAAAACACTTTTACAAGCATAATGGTTCCATTGTGGTAAAATGTAATAAACTTAACTTCTCATCAGTATGAACTCTTCAATATAGAAGAAAATAAAAGCATACAGAGAATGTTCAATAGATTTTCACACTATTTTGAACAAGCTTTTGTTCCTTTAGCAAACCTTATAATAAAAAACGTAGAAATGCATAAAAAGGGAGGATTGAATTATGTATTAACACCTTTTCATAGTCTATACAAGATCAACTTTTAATTAAGATAGTCAAACACAAAATTTAAGTGGACAAACTCACTTTTAAGATATTTTTGCAAATCTAGTTTAGTAATCTCTCCTTTAAAGTTAGATGACTATTCAATAACATGTAATCTAAGTGTTGAGAGTTAAGAAAGATTTATATTGGACATTTTTATACTAGTCCATTTTTTAACTAAGACTATGTTGAATTCTTGATCAAACTTCATTAGGCAAACTATTGTTGTAAAATATAAGATGAGTATTTTATGAACTTCAATCACTCGTGACTAAAAAATTCAGTATTATTTCGAACACATCATTTTCTAATTAAATAATTGAGTACTATTTGGAACACAATCACTCTTGGTTAAACAACCAATTATTGTTTAAAATGATATCACTTATGACTAAGACTAAGTATTTGTTAAAGAAAATATCAATTGATCATAAGTTATTTTGATTAAAGAATGTGTTCGACAAGATATCTTTGGTAGACTAAAAATGTTTATTCTATGTTGCAAAGAATATTCATTCTAATTGATCTTATAAGGGGATATCATGAAGACTAGTATATATCGAAGATATCTTACTGAACGCATTAATCCAACTTAGTGTTAACAACCCATCTGAAAAGTATCATCAACCTCGTATAGTCTTTCCTTTTACGCCAATTTGGATAAAAACTCTTATTGCTTGAGTTTAATAAGTTATGTCAAAGTATTAGATTGTTTCTTTAAAAAGATATATGCAACTAATCATACATGGAGAATATTTAATGCATCTCTACACTTGAATGTGATAAAAAACAACACGAGGAAACTAATGATACATGGAGAACATTTAATGCATCTCTACACTTGAATGTGATCAAACACAACATGAGGAAACTAATATCTCTATGTCTGAATGACTAGAAAAGAGTTTCCAATGAATCTTTGAGAAACATCAATATATAGAGGTGTTTGAGGAATAAAGGATATAAAATGACAAATAATGAACCAACATGAGGTGGAAAATTACATATAAATCAATTTTCAAATGTCAACATCAGACTCACCTTTAGATAACGATGATTTTGAGGTAGATGACAAGATATCCTTTATATCCAAAAAGGATCCATTATATGTTATGAAAGAAAGGTGGCTTTAAAGGTAGAAAGGCCTAATCTGAACTAATAAGGGATTTAAGGTTAAAGAAGGCCCTTGTGTTTACTACGAGTAAAACAATCTTAGTCACTTCAGATCAAAATGCCTTAAGAAATCATGAACTAAGAACGATAAAAGTACTTCTTCAACAATTATGTCAAAAAGGCTCTTATGTTAACGTAAGACCTCAAAGATATAAAACCTGAAGTAGAATAAGTTGCAAACCTCTATCTTATTAAGAAGTAGACTTTAAGCTTAACTCAATCCCATAAAATCGTTTTTAAAATGAGGTTTGTATCTATTTATATATTTTAAATTGATCTTATCTATAATCGATGTGATACTTTCAATATAGCTTAGAACTTATTCATTATTTGTCCCCAACATATTATTACAATGAGTGGTGTAGATTTTTATGATCTTCACTTTACGATTAAAGCATATCACGAGTTTATGTCTAACTTCTTTAACTTATATAGAAAAAATCCATTAGAGAAGTAGAGCCTTGCTAAAGCATACTACATCTTTAGAAAACTAATATATTATTATTAACGATCTTCCATTAAAAAATATAGATTTATTAGACAATTACAGAAAATAAATAAAAGAGATTATAAAAGTTTATAATAAAGCTATGAGACTTTGGGTTTACATTTTAAGGAAAAAGAAAAGGAAACAAATCTCTTCTTTTTAAAATCAAGCAACTAGAGAAGACTGTTTGCAAACGACCATTATTTAAGAATTGACGATACCCAAATGAGACATTGAGAAATATCATATTCATAATTACAAAAAGGGACACCGAAGTTAATTTTCTAATAAGATCATCTCATATACCTTTTGATAAAAGTGACAAGAGAGAGAAAGGTCCAAAGATAACAAAACATGCATTGTCTAACGCGGATTTGCTAAGCCTTTGAGAACTAACAAGAAAATACTCAATTATACCTAGATACCAAAGTATAAAACATTCATGTTGCAAATTTTCTTAACACTAGAAAGAAACACTGGTCACAATATTTTGACAATGGGTGTTTCTAACACATGACGAGAAAAATGTTCTTAAATAAGAAGAATAGAGGATAAGTAGCTTTCAAAAGAAATATGAAAAAGAAAAGGAAAGATAGTTGGCATTAGAAAAGAGTATAGAACATTTCTTATCTATGGAAGACAAGTCAATTATGTGACAGTAAAATATTTTAATTAATGAGTTAGATTAATCCATGGACTTTAACTCAATTTAAAAGCTTTAATATTATATTTTGAGTAAAAATAGATTTATTTACTAATACAAATAAGTTAGGCTACTCGCTAAACAAAACTACTATCACTTAATTTATTTCAATGAAAATAAATGTTAAACAATATTATTTAATCCTAAAAAAAAACTCCTACCTTGGAGATAAGATCATATAAAAGTGAGTTACGTGATCATTCATATTTTAAACAAATTTAAATTTTTATAGCTATTTTCGTTGTAGTAGGAACCAAAAAAGACATAACTTTTAGAAGACTTAATTATAAAAAATATTAATGCGTAAATAGAAAGAACAAACATATATATTCCGTTGAAGATAGTGCAATTTACTTCTTTTAATTTTCTAAAGAAAAATAAAGCAAATGTGATTTACTAACAAGGTTTAAAATTTATTTTGGTTTTTATATTAGTCAATACTAAGCGAGGTGTCAAATTTTCATGTACATGACAAATTAAACCAATATAATGTAGAAAGTTATTTATGTGAAAGTAGGGAAATTGACTTTTCTTTCGAAGGGGAGCAAAAACCCTAGCACCCAAACTGGACCACCATGTCATCCACTAATGCAGCAACCACGAGCCATTTTTGTTGGCAACAAAAACTTAATTCTTCCTTTCACTTTTTAATAGATTCATTTGTTTCCTTCTGTCCATATCTATAATGTTTGTAAAATTATGAACCTCCTTTTCTGCTCTAGGCGTTAACCTTTGTCCCTAATTTAAACTAAGGCTTTGTGTTTGTTAAAATAAAGTTCTAGAGCATTTACAATGTGTGACTGAAAACAAAGTTAATATGACATAGTAAAAGTTAATTCATATGAAAGCTACCACAAGTTTGAAGCCATAACGAACCACCATTCCTGTTGTCGGACCACCATGAATCCTTGTGAAATCCATCAGGTGAGCCTCCACCATTATTCACCATCAGCCTCGCACCACTGTGAGCAATATGTCATCACAAAATCCTCTGTTAAACCCAAACACGATTCACGAACTTCCATCTTGGCGCCGTCTTGACGAACTAGCAACCAACATCATCTTCCTTAAACCACCACCACGAGTCTAGAAGTGAGATCGAGAAACCCTTTGCTGCAATTCGCGAGCTTGACTACAACAGCAAATCAAAAACCCATAAACACATAATCCCCAAATCTCTCGAGCAACCAGAACATCCTACAAAAAAGGAAACCTAAATCACAGAAACACAAAAAAGTCCCAAATCTCTCGAGCAACCAGAACATCCTGAAAAAAAAAGGAAACCTAAATCGTAGAGAACAGAAAATTTAGAGACCTACAATGAAACCACCCAAAAACGTATGCTCCATCAAGAGTTCAAAGGTAAAATCACAAAGTCAAATTCCTTTCACAAAAACCACTTTCACTCACCATCCCATGTAACTTCTCCTTAACTTGTCACATATATTCAAAACTGACATGTCATTGTCCCTTAACTTGACATGTATATTCAAAACTGATAACTCATTCAATATTGACTTATTTGCACATTACATCATCAGCGATTTAGAATCCTATTAGCGAAAATGATCAAGTTGAACAAATTTTACAAGAAAAAAGAGACCACTTTGAACACCAAAAAAAACTCGATGACTACTTTGAATAAAAGTGACAAATATAAGGACCAAAATAAATATTAAACCTATTAATAAAAATAAAAAACTTAAATGGTGGGGAGAAAACACTTCCTGAAATTTAGCAATTGAATTTTACCTAATAATCAACAAAATCATTAAATTCTTTACACCAATATATGATAGTAAAAAACACCTAAAAATTACCAAACAGTTAAAATAGACATAAGTGATAAGTTGATGAAAAAAAAACAAGAAAACACTACTTGAAAAAAAATGAAATTAGAATAACATTAATCACATACGAAACGCCTTTATGTTAAAAACATTCCATGGATTAACATTATATATTTTTCTCTCATCTATTTCAACTATATAATCTATAATATTTACACTTCTTCACTTTCTTTCACCCTAATTCTTAAAATAGTATAGAGTTGTGCATGCAACTTTTTCTGGCAATAAAAACCCAACACATGCAAAACTTTATTCAACTAAATTTGGAAGCACACTAGCCAAATCATGAGTTAAAACAAGCATGCAAGCATGTGGCAATGTTTATTACATGTTTTCTTTTCTACCAAGGATGTTCTTCAACTGGGTGGCATATCTGGAGGTGGAGGTAGTAATGCAGCATCACCTTCTCCATTGGTCACAAGTAACACAGTTTCCATGCCCCAAGAGAGGTGTCTTTCTAGATGGCAATGCACAAACCACACCCCTACAATTGAGGTTACAATTATATATATAATAACTTTTGACAAAAATAAAATCACTAAATAACAATTAAATTTAAAGATTAAAAATAATTAATTATTATATTCACTAAGACACTATTTTATAAATTAAAAATTATTAATATTTAAAATAGTTTCTACTATTAAACTATAATATATTTATAAATTAGATTCTAAATTGATTTTTAACTAATTGATAGGTTTAGTAGGGTTTGAACCTACAATATTACCATTATAAACCATATATGTTTCAACCGATTAAACTATAAGTCCATATAGATCTCTGCATACAATTATTGTATTAATTATTTTTTATTTTAAATGTGATTGTTATTTAGTCATGTTATTGTTTACTAACTACAAAAATTTAGACAAACAGTAATAATATTCTCATTAACATTCTCACCTACTTTAAGGGTCTTTCATTCATGTCGATAACCATATGTCATTTATTAAAACAATTTCATCCAAGTAATCTCACTCTTTCCACAAATGTATTCACTACAAGAAACACGCTTATTACCGACAGATAATTATCGAAGGTCAAGTGTCCTTCGGTAATTTGCACTGCCCTGTAATTTATCGGCGGATACGAGGCTTCGGTATTGTGCACGATGACTTCACTTAAATTTTGGGTATTCCCTCACTCATTTTTATTTTTAGCAGTTCTCTTTCCCCCTAATTTCTCTCTTCTCTTCTCCCAAAATTGAAATTCGAGGGCATGTGAGGGTACCCCCAAATTTCTCCTCCTTCGTTTGGTTCCCTTTTCTTTGCGCATCATCGGTCCCTTCCATCTTCTGTTGGCATAACGGTGGTGTGAAGAGCGCGAGCATTTCCGGTGGTGGAGCGGGTTCGTGCAATCGCGGAGGGTGCCTCCCTGTTAAGTTCACAATCATTTGCAAAGGGAAACACCTTCGATGGTGACGGCAGCGGAGCCAGAAGCGAAGACCTACTGGTGCCACGAATGCGATATGAGCGTGTCCCTCACACTCATTCCCTCGCCTCTCCTTTGTCCCCATTGCCACACCTCCTTCCTCGAACTAATGGACTCTCCCTTCTCCCAAAACGATGCCGAATCACCCCTCTTTGACCTCATTTTCCAGGACGCGCTCTTACTCCTCTCCCCGAAGCCCCTCCCCGCCAAACCCCACCCTCTCCCCTCCGTCAACGTCACGCCCTCGCTCCTTTTCGCGCTCGACCCCAACGACTTCGTTTTTTTCGCTGTGTGCAAAGACCAAATTTCCCTCTTTGACGCCTAGGCCAAATAGTTGCCCTGCAAACACCTTTACCATGCTGGTTGCATCACGCCGTGACTCGACCTCCACGCGTCGTGCTCGTTGTGCAGACTTCGCCTTGAGAAAGAGGCGGCACAGAAGGAGGAAGACGAAGGTGACGATGTGGTGGCAGAGATCCGGAGGAAGCCTCGAGGTGCCCAAGCGCCTTTGCTATACGGTGGTGCTCTGTCTTTTCTTTTCTTTGTCTTGCATCTCTTTTTTAGTGCTAAATTAGACCAGAATTCTGCTCTGATCAACTAGCTTCACTGTAATAATTGTGAGAATGAAACTCTAATTTCGGTTGGAGTTCGAGATGACCATTGGAGAGAATATAGAATTTTAGTTGAGTTAATGTGTGTGTGTTATAATTGTTGAAGAGTGTTATTGATAACCAATCCTAATTGTGTTTTTCAACTGGGATCTTGAAATTTGAAGGCTGATTTTGTTGAAGGAGGGAATATGTTATGATTACTGAGTTGATATTACATAATTCAAGATTGTTGAAACTTTAAATTTGTGGTGGTTTGTTTTGCTTCAAAACTGTTATGATCTAAGCTACTAAAGGCGATTCTATCTTTATGTGCTAGAATGAAATTTCATCTAAGCATTTTAATTTACAGTTTAATGAATAAATTGTTTCTTTAGATGAATAATGAAGTCTTATGTCATTTGATTTGATTTAATTTAATTTGAGGTAAGCCCACTCCTAATATCTACCTAATATTGGCCGTCGGTAATTACCGAAGGCTTTTGACCGTCGGTAATTACCGAAGGGCAAAGACCGTTGATAATCGTTAGCGACAAACGATTTATCGATGGTTAACTGGCCATCGGTAATGCGTCGGTAATAGACATTACCGACGGTCTTTTGGCTATTTCCGACGAATTACAATCGTCGGTAATATCCTTCATTTTAGTAGTGATTACTGTTATTGACTAAAAATAAATGCATACATTGATATACATAAAAAATGGCATTTAAGAAAAAGAACAATTTTCCAGTGCAACATACCTGGGTTAAGAGCATGGAACCTTACGGAGGCCCAACCATTGTTAGGCACTAGTACTGTATTGACAAGAGCAGGATCAACGAGATTGTAGGTCATGGGGTCCTTCTCTTCGTCAAAATTCCCAAACCCAAATCCTACAGCAAAGAGACTAAATCCATGGACATGAATTGGATGGCCTATCCCAGTAACCAAGTTTGTCCCTTGAAAAACAAGTTCCACTGTTGAACCATATTTAATAACTGCAACCTTGGTTCCTCTCTTTGGCATCTGAAGGACCAGAGGCAAATACTCTGCTGTATAGTCAAATTCCAATGGTGGAAATCTGGGAAACCCCCTATCATACACCCCATTGATGTGATAGTAATAAGCTTCTAGGATGTCAAATCTGGGGGCATTGAAGCTTATGTTGTTCATGCTAGAGGCTAAACGTGTTCCATTTGGTCCTGCACAGGTTTGGTGATCAAGGCATGGAAGTGTGTTAATGGAAAGGGTGGTTAGAATATGAGTGGTGATATCTTTAGGGACTTGATAAGGGTATGTTTCGGTTAAGCCCTTGAGGCTAACATAGTAGTCAAAAACTGCTTTTGTGTTATTATAGTCAGGCAAATAAGGTAACGGAGGAGATTTTGTTGGAGCATGATTCTCCATGTAGTGTATTCTAGCTGTGGTTGTGGCATTGTTAAAGGGAATTAATGCACTTGAATATGCCCTTGCAGCCATGTAGTAGTCACTAGCTTTTTGGTTTGCTTGCAATAGTGCATCCACTGTTTGCCCTGGAGTTATGACTATGTAGTCTCTTATCAGTGGCTTAGTGTAGCCACTATCAGTACCAACAACTGTGAGATTGTGCTTTGAAACAGAGAAAAAGAGATTGAGATTCATTGCAGCATTCACAATGCGCAGAAAATAAGTCTTGCCATGGTCTACATTTAACTTGAATGTTTCTGAAATTCAAACAAGGAATAATATAGTGATTGTATTGATTTTGTCATTGAAACCATGCACATAATTCAATCCACTAATTTGTTAAGTACAAATTACTCCATCTCATTGAACTTGTTCCTCAAATTTATCTAATATCATGACAAATTTGGTTCTGAAATTTGGTCAGTGAAGGCAGAACTAATTTGTTATAATGTCACATTGAGACATTGAATTGCATAAACATAAACTGTCATGCACTACATCAATACCACAACTTTTGGGACTAAATTGTATTTAATCCTAGTTTTTTTTTTTCTTGAATGTAAACATATAATTATGTCATGATATGCCTGTGTTGATGAATGTAAACAAAAACTTGATGTCTACCTGACTTTGAGCAAGGAAAAAAGTCACCAGGTTGACCGTTTATAGTGATTGCATCAGATGTATTTGGGGTTCCTCCATTTTTTATAAATTCTTCATGAACATCTTTGACTTGACTCTTCCACCATTCTCCTATGTACACAAAAATAAACAAGTGAAGACAAATTCTTAAAAGGGTAAAGGAATAGGGTAAAAGATTTTCATACCTAATACTATGGCCACTTCTGCATCAGGTGTGGGAAAAGGGTAGGATTCACCCTTTTTTGGATATATAAAGATAGGTCCATGAACTGTGGCTCTGTCCCAGTCACTATGAGCATGCCACCATAGGGTCCCTTCCTCAGTGGAAAAAATCAACTTCTGCCTGAATTTTCCTCCTGGTTTGATGGGACACTGGGTGATGTATTCAGGGCCATCTGACCATGGATTCCTTGGTTGCTGCACTCCATGCCTGCCCTCACATCAATTACAATGTTCTAAAACTAATCTCTTTCTTATTGTTCAATGGTAAAACATGTTCCGATTCTCCAATTTTCAATCAAAAATAGTCTTAGTTCTAGTATTTTAGAAACAATTATCAGGTGTTCTCCTATTCTTTATAATATGTGAATTCATTCTTCACTTTAGTATTTTGAGTTTCATGAAGAGGCTCCCATTTATTAAAAAAACATGAGGATTCAACCAGGACAATTTTGACAGAAAATCAAGGGACTTAAAACACATTACGCTCTTTTTTGTTTCAAATATCACCAAATCTTCTATGGTTATGAAATCCATACCAGTGCAATGTGATGTTGGAATTCCCCTTGTTGTGAACATTTACATATATCGTTTCACCATAGTAGGCTGTAATAGTTGGGCCTGGAAATTGTCCATTCACTGTCAATATGGGTTTCTTGCTGCAGAGTCTTCTATAAGGAGCTTCTTTAACCTGCAACATTTATCAAACTAGTTACATGCATAACAGGGACCCATGAACTAATATATAATAGTAGGTAACACTGCAAGTAGTTCAAGGGAATAAAACACTAATGATCATGCAATCTCATGCAACAACAGTTGGAAGACAAACTAACAGAAAATGAAAAAACCAATGAAGAATTTTGATGATGCAAAGCTAGATAATGGTTTACGATGTCACAAACTCACAACAAATTCGTATTCAGTCAGTTTTTTGCAGTTGATTGGAACTAAGGAAAAACACAGCAAAGTTTGAAGGAAGATAATTTTCCTTCTAAGCCACATTTTTTCATGAGATGAAATGCTTATTTTGCAGCATTTGTGATCGAAAATTTATATCAGCATTTGGAAGAGCGAAACAGATTTTAATAGAAAAAATTGTATGTTGAGTAGCCTTAATCAGTTTCATTAAGTATGATTTGACTTCATATCTTTAATATTTATCATAAAATATGATTTGAGTTCACTTGCAATGGCTTACGAAGAGAAGATTCGGTGAAGAGAGTGAAAAGGGATGCTTCAACGAATTATGCTAGTTTTGTGCATATATCGATCATAGTTCTTTATTGGGTGAAATTGCTTTTAAGAAAATTTTGGAAAAATGATTGTAAGATAGGAATATTTAATACTTATCATGCACGGATACGATCAAATACCGTATCATATACGCATACGTCCTCTGTCTAGACAGATTATATATGGTGTATTTGAAAAATACAAAAATACACTACAAGGGACATAAATGCATTATTTTTTTTAATGTTTATTTTTTAATAACCATAAAATTTAATCTTAAAAATTATTCGGTGTTTAAATGATAAAACCATGTTATTTTAATATTAAAATAAAATGTTATCAGTCTAACTTTCATAGTATTCTACTACTATTAGATTCGTCACATCTTCAATAATACAAAGTAGTTAATTCAAAAAAAGTATATAAGATACTATTAGAGATATCCAGATATAACTTATAATATTAAGATAAAATTGTAACAGCCCAATTTTTATGGTATTACCATTGGTTTCGTCAAATCTTTAATAATACAAAATAGTTAACTCAAAGAATGTATATAAGATGCTATTACAAACATCCAGATATAACTTATAATAGCAAATTACATATACAATATCTTGACTACTAAGAGATATTACATTAAACCAAGAGTGTAATAGTTAATTACAAAAAATCGAGGAAAACACAACAAAACTTCTTACATTATACTTCAGCTTCATTTCCTCTTAGCACCTGTGTTCACTAGAGAAAATCTTGTACTCCTACCATTAAGGTGATAAACGCAAACAAAAAGAAACTAACAGACAAAAAAACACAAAGAAGAAATGGTAAGCTAATGTACAAAAAACAATCATATATCACATAAAATTAGACATATAACACATATAAAACCATTAATCTTAAGTCATACAATTCTTTCCTCTAGAATTGACCATCTAGATACATGTATTGATGTTAGACTCATGGGAGACCTACCCCGTGTGTGGTGAAACATCAAACTACCTCACACAAAGTGATGACTTGGGCTCAAGCCCAATTATAAACCAAAGGCCCATTACTTGTGGAATGGCCAAGAAGATCTAACAAGATCTTGAAGACACCTCTAAGGAAGCCCAAGCTTTATATGCTCACTTTCAATGTCACCTAAAGGATCATCAAGAAGGCTCATTAATGTCAATTCCAGCCCATGGAGAAGGATAGATCAAGAAAGGCCACCAAGGCCCAAATCAGATTGCGCTCAGCGTAGACCCTAGGGTGTTGAGCGCCCACAAGCTCACTCATTGTTTTTTTAGCACGTGTATCTTGTGCATTTCATTTTCAACATGATTAAAACACCCTGCTACATGGCAGCCGATCCCATATTTTTGGCTAATGATTAGCCTAATAAGTTAGCTCAAGCATGGAAGAGGAATTTCCTATAAATTCACCCTTCGCCCCTTTGTATTGAACATTTTTTAATGTATTAAAGTTACGTTGATTTGCATCAAGCCTCTAGTCCGAAAGTCATCTTCCTTTGCTTCTCCCTATTTCCCCTCTAGCTTTCTTCTAGTGATGGAGGACCGCCTAAGCTAGAGTCATTCTTCTATATGCAATACACACCACACCTTACCATAGAGCATCCATATATTTCATTGCATCAAGGTTCCCAACGCATACCATTGCTTAGCTCGTGTTTTCCGTGGCTTAATTAGCTTTTGGATGAGTCATCACCAAGGTTAATTTGTCAAACATCTATAGCCAATACATGACCATCAGACTAAGGACCTCGTGCTACTCTTCAACACATAATCATCTTTCTCTACTTAAGATTGGAAATTATTAAGAGTGTCAAAATCATCACCTAATCCCGGAGTCTCTACTTCAATACATCACACTACAAAACAATAATACGGATTTCCTTATGGAATCCCTTTCACAACATACTTAATTCACACTTAAACTGAATACACATCCACCATTATCATTCATAGGGCATTCATAATTATCAAGAACTATACATAACATCCATTATCATATGTCATGAACATATTTATAAGCATCAACACATATACATCATATCAGAATAAACAATTCACTCAAACAAGCAATTAATAACAAAGAAAACATTTAAAAGATCATAAACAAGGCATCCAGAAGATTTTCTTCTGAGATAATTGATTATCTTACCTTATAATCGATTATTTAAGAGATTTTCTTAGGCAAACATGAATTTCTTATGAGATAATTGATTATCTCACTTGATAATCAATTATTCCAGAGGGTTTTTAGGAAAATATGACATTCTTACTGAAATAATTGATTTTGAAGTAAGATAATCGATAATTCCAATCAGTTTTTACATCAACTTTGAATTTTTGATATGTTTGCACCCCATACCTATCCAAATGACCAAATTAATATCCTTGACATTAGAATTGATTCAAAAACATGTTTAGGACTAAAATTGAATTCCAATTTGCTTATTTGGCTAGGAATAAGGTACACTAGGTCAAACCCTCAACTCGAAAGCTCATAACTCAAATTCTACATTTTACAAACCAAATATTTTAGAGAACTAAGTAGTTAAACAAGTCACATATGACTAATAAACAAACCCCTAACAAAGTCTACCCGAGCCAACAACACCTAGCAAAGCCTGCTTAAGACGATAACACTCATACAACAAAGTCTATTAAATACACCATCTGTATTCAATGATGACATGAGTTAATGGTAAACTCAACATGGTCAAAGATGACCACTTACAGCCTAGCCAAACAATCAGTCCACCTACAAACCTTAAAATCGACTACGACTCAGCCAAAGGGCAAGTTACATTCGCAACAAGCATCCCTCATAAGCGAATCAAACTTTCGAGCTTCAGAGGGCTTATGTACATACCCAGCCCAACAAATATGATAAGGGATGTAGTCCAACACGCCTCATTCAACTTTACTAACCTAAAGTGGTTGGAAGATATTCTGAGTTATATTTGTTAGTGCTAATATTCATATATTAACAATATATGTGACAAAATCTTAGTAGTTTGATTACTTCATGATATTTTTTAATATCATTTATTTTTACATAATATTTGGTATATTAGATAAGGTATCATATTATTATGACTATACTAATTATCATATATATAATACGTTGTTATTTTATTGATATTATTTGAATCCAACCTTGATACTATCTGTTTTTATCATATGAATCAAAGGACCCAAAAATCCTATAAATACGCATGGTACTTCACTAAGAAATACACACTTTATCATGCTCACTCTCTTACTGACTTGGACATCAGAGAGTCTTTTGCAAGTAGATCTTCCCATATGTTCCAACCCTCACGAGCATTTTTCAAGATTCTCCAATCCACTAAGATATTGCTACCTTTTGGAAAGTCCACGTTCTAGATCCCGATAAGAACAATTGCATTTGTGGTATTATCTGCATTGGAGTTTGAAACTTCTATTACAATTTTATCCTTAAAAGGCATATTAGATGGTTAAAGGAGAAAAGCGTAGATTTAGTTTCAACTCCTGCACTGTGTAGGAATATTAGGTATACCGAATCTATAAATACACATGGTACTTCACTAAGAAATACACACTTTATCATGCTCACTCTCTTACTGACTTGGACATCAGAGAGTCTTTTGCAAGTAGATCTTCCCATATGTTCCAACCCTCACGAGCATTTTTCAAGATTCTCCAATCCACTAAGATATTGATACCTTTTGGAAAGTCCACGTTCTAGATCCCGATAAGAACAATTGCATTTGTGGTATTATCTGCATTGGAGTTTGAAACTTCTATTACAATTTTATCCTTAAAAGGCATATTAGATGGTTAAAGGAGAAAAGCGTAGATTTAGTTTCAACTCCTGCGCTGTGTAGGAATATTAGGAATATTAGGTATACCGAAAGAAACCCTCAATTAAGGATTAAAGGAGTTTTCATTCTCATAAATGATACCAATCTTTCAACTTCAAATTCATTACTATATTGTCTTCTTTAAAATTTGAAATTCTTATTAAAGTTTTGTATTTAAAAAGTGTTTCAAAAGACTGAAAAATGAGAATGTATTTAAAGTATTATTGATTTTAACTTCTAAGAAATGTAGAACTATTAGATATAGTGAAATAATTTTCTTATTTTATAATTAGTTTCTATTCTTGTGAGAGTCATTTGAAACATGTTAAATAAGTTACTTTCTAACGTATTTGATTAAATTTTAAGTTTTTAACAAATGAAATTTTCTATTGACTTGTAAACTAGAAGTTAGTTCCATTAATTATAACTTATAATTTTTCTCCTTTACTCTTCCTACATCATTTTCATATTACCATATATTCTCTTTCAATTTTAGTTTTTCTATAAAGGTTTAATACCTTCTTTGGTCCCCACTTTTGTGTGATAATGTCAAATCAGTTCCCATTTTTAAAAGTGTTTTAAATATGTCCATATTTAGTAAAATTTGTGTCTAATTTGTCCCTTACGTTAAGTATAACCAAACAGACTTAGTGCGTTGATGATCTGAAAACAGTTATTGGCAACGTGTCAATATATTGTTTTGTGCGTGCTGACGTGTTACTTACTAACAGAAGATATATGGTGTTTTATTAAGAGAGGGTCCAAATTTTGAATCAACCACAGTCCAACCTTGCCAGAGCCATCACGACACCCATTGGCCGCACACATCAGCTCCCCCATTGCCGCAAACTTGCATCACCATCGTCAATCAGAACCCAAAAAACGTGAGAATTAGAAACCCTAAATGCAGAAACCCTAACTCCAAAATAAGAAAGCAAGGACAGGAAAACCCCATAATCCAAATTGAAAACAAAATTCCCAACTCCTTCAATCACAATATCAGAAAAATCAAGAAAATCAAGAAAATCAAGAACAAAACTTTAAAGGAAAAATTCCCAAATACATAAACCCTCAACCTTGGG